AAGAAAATAGGATGCTTACCTATAAGAAAAATAAAGCAAAGAAAACGGTTACAGAGATAGCCGAGAAGAACGTGAAAGAGATTGACGGACAAGACGTCAAGAAGAGGTGATGGTGATCAAAAGATGACACCAACCAAGGAAATAGGATGCTTACCTATAAGAAAAATAGAGCAGAAAAAATGGTTACAGAAATAACCGAAAAGACGTGGAGAAGAAGATTCACACACAGCACAAGAATGGAACCGGTTACACAGGAAACCAAAAAAGACGTGGAGAAAATTTACGCACAATGCACAAGACGGAAGCCGGCTAAAAAGAAAATGTCAAAGAGACGTGACATTTAAAGAATAAAAAAGGAGAAGACACTTCATAAATGGTGAAGCGTGATGAAGAAGACGTGACTTTTGAAGAAAAAGAAGGTTTACCCAAAAGACGTGAGGACACTCCGTTACAAAAACAACTTCAAGAAAGTCAGGAAGTTAGAGTTTCAAATGAGGCATTTGGTGTTAGCTTCACAAAGCCTGAAGAACTAATTAAACAGTTTGGAGTTAGAGCAAAACTCAATTAAGGAAAAGTGTTAGTTTATAATTAAATTTAATTATATAAGTGAGTGTTATGTAAAATAAAGAAATATATGATAGTCGTAACTTATCGAATGGGTATGTATAAAGTTACAAACCGTTATGTATCATTACCAACAGTTGTATTTGTTTACATAAGATCACTATATAAATGTTAGTGATGTGTAAATGTAAGATTGTCGAGATAAAGAGAAGTTTTTCAGATTCTATATTCTGTTTTCTTTTTTCTTCCAAATTCTATTTTACTTTTCTTTATCACATATATTATACAAGAAACAATGGTTTCTAAAATAATATAAGAGCATAAAACCAACAGGGCTGGGCTATATTATCCATACTGGTTTAAACGACTTTTATACAAATGATACAATGATGATGATCAAATATTGATTCAAACCAAATTAGAAATTATATACTCCCTATGTTTTTTTTATTTGATGTTTTAAGATTATGTATACAAATTAAGAAACCTAATATAATATTTATTATAAATTTGTTAATTATTATTTAAATTTAAATTTATTAACGTATTAGTTTTTAAATAGACTAGTGAGAACATCATTATTTTAAAACAGAAAAACTAATCTTAAAACATCAACTATAAAAGAAAACAGAAGGAGTGGTTAAAAAGTCAAACATTCGAAAAAAATGTTTTAAAAAAAATTATGTTTTACATGGACATAAAGTTGACTCTTTTTCCGTTTTGGTCAAACATAAAAATGACAACAACAATGAAGTTTTCAACAACATAATTTCTATCGTGAACTCCAATGGTAACACATTCGACGATATTATTAATCACAATAATGCCGTTAGATATCAACAAACCAGAGTTGTTTATAGTTTCGATGTAATAGTTGGAATCTACTATATACCGTAATTAAGCTCTTCTCCAAATGAAACATTTAGGCTATGGAGATTCAGAATCTCTTTACCGCTATTTAGAACTAATTACTTAGAACTTTCTAAGCATTGCGTTATTCAAGGATACTTGGATGACATAATTACATTGTCTAATTAAGGGTTTGTATATCACTTTAGATCCACAGGTAGAAATACCAATGTCTTGACTAATCAATGAACTCTCATCTGTTGTCTTATTGGTTTCTTGATGTATGTCCTAAAAACTCTTTTATCCAATAGATTATTTTTTGTAAACTATATTAGTTAATATAATTTAGTTTCCATGTAATTATCATTTTTATAACAAATTAGAAGGAATTCAAACTAAAAGGATGTGGTTCTATGGAAACAGAAGTCAGACAAGTACAAGACAAGATTCAGTTAGAAAGACACATAGAATCTCATTCGAGAAGAATATCAAAGATGTGAATGGATTAACGCTGTTTGGTTCACTCTTGCCACACCTAAATTCCCGCTCTCACTTGGTTTGTGTTGCACAACAGATTAGCAACGGGAGATCGTATGGTGACATGGAACGCTAGTGTTGATGAAACTTGGGCTCTACGTCAACATTTACAAGAGACAAAGCAACTCCCGTTCTTCTCATGCCAATACTCAGCACAAGTATGGGATTCTCTAGCCGAAGGGGACAATATTGTTTGGATTTTTGACCCTTAGATATGTGTTTCAAGCAAGGATCTACGACATTTGACGAGAGAGAAACAAAAGAAAGCATGGGAAAGCATATATATATGGAATATGTTAACCTCCAAAACGAGATCTAATTAGAGTAGTATATCTCAGTTATATACACATCTTGTTATATATTTGGTTGATCCCGACGAGTCAAAGACTCTTCATCAAGTATGCTTCAAATAACCAACTCTGGCATAATTTTGTGAATCAATAACTTCGTTTGCAAAACAAAAGCAATAATTTAAGCAGTATAGGAAACCCTTTATCGTATCGAAAAAACAAAATTGTATTCATCACACAATAACAGCGGAAAATTCCAGTAAAAGACATGACTTGGGGACTGTAAACACAACATCACACCACTCAATCTTACCATAAATCTCTTGTCCGCTGCGCCTTTCAACCGCAATCACAGCACACAAAATCATCTTCTCGTCAGAACCAATATCTTGCGTTTCCTCCTCCCACAAAACTGCAATCTTTCCACCATAATTTACCAACCTGACTCTGGTAAAATCATATGGTATTCTTGGAAGTTCTTGCAAACCCTTTAAATATCTCCACGTTCTTCCCTCGGAGTCGTACCATTTTAGGCTTTTGGCCCATTTAGAACAGTACACTACGTTGTCTATTACGCAAGACGATCTATAGGGACACCAATCCAAAGGCGTCTCGGTTCCTACCACATCCCACCCATTTTCCGTGGGATTGTAAACCATAGGTTTATCCCCAAACAGGTAAAGCTTTCCGTCTATTGCTAAGCTTCTTAATAAGGAATTCTTACCGAGAATCTCTGCTTTAGGGTATGGCACTTGTTTCCATATTTGCGTTTCCGGATCGAACACCTCCATAAGTTCTGAGGAACCGCGACTGTCCGAGCCTTCCACTACATATATTTTCCAGTCAAGAACATTCACAACCGGCGACACTGGTGCAATCCGCATGCTTGGAGTTTCGTGCCATGTGTGAGTCCGACAGTCCATGAAGAAGACTCTAGTACCGTTTATGCGTCCCCCAATCGCGTAGATATTAGAACCGATTGTGGCGGTCTCCCACCAAGACAGAGGACAATAATTTTGAGTTGTGACTGAGACCATGAGATTGTCGCTCGACTTCTTCTCTTCCTTCCTAGTGTGATTCGTTGGTCTAAAGCATGGAGGAGTGAACCATCGTCGGATAGGGTTAGGGTTAGGTTTAGGTTTAGGGTTAGGGTTAGGGGTTTGAGTTGGTCTTCGACATAGAGTGAACCAACGTACGTTAGAACGAGAACTGAAACGTAAGCACACACGGTGCGACCTAGGAGTATTCGCGTTTGGTAAAGCTCAATCGATGCAATGAGAGAGCTGAATCTCTTGGAAACTAAAGAGAGAATCGGGTAGTGCAATCTCGAGACGCGAGCTAAGCAATTCAACAGTATATCATCAGGAAGATCTGGCATATTACTAACCCGTGAAGACCCTTTGACTTTCGTCATTAGCAGAAACCGTTTAGAGAGTAATCAAACTCGTGATCGGCCTTATCAACTACTTTAGTAGTCGAGAAATATTTTGTCGCAACTCTTATCTAGGTTTAAAATTTTCCTAAATCTATATTCCTATGATATTTTTGAAGTGAGAGAGGCTTTAACTGTGACCATAAAGATAACAATAAGAATGAATAGAAAAATGAATGAAAAGAATAAAATAATAGGAATTATTGTTCCTTCTCATTTTTATAGGGAATATATTAACATTATAGTTCCTTAAAACATAAGGAACGAGAAGAAATCATGGATACAATATATTTCTTTTAAATTGTGTAATTTTTAGGGAATAATAAGGATTTAGTATTACTTTCCATTCCTTATGGTTGTAGGGATGTTAATTTGGGCCAAAGCCCGAAGCCCGGCCCTGAAAAATACTGGGTTTGGATTTTGGTATAAAAGGTAAAAGCCCAAAAAAACAGATTTTTTTGAGCTAAACCTATTCGGACTTAAGCTCGATCGGACTCTCCGGACTTACCTGAAAAGCCATGTACTTTATATTACTCCTTCCATTCCAAAAAGTATGATGTTTTGGCTTGTTCACATAAATTAAGAAACAGTTACTTGTTGTTATTAATGCATTACTTTTTTTTACAATCATTACTCTTTGACAACCGTTAACCAATAGTAATTTAAGAATTTAAATAATTATAATTACTTTTTAATATCTACAAAAATATATATTTAATACTCTAAAACATCACTTTTTATGGAACAAAAAAAAACTAAAACATCAAATATTTAGAAACGGACAGAGTATAATTTATTTATAAATTTTCTTTAAAAAAATTCTTTACAATTTTTAAAAAAATTAGGGTTATTGATTTTTTTATAATACTCTTTATTAATCTAAAACTTTAATTTTTAGCTGTGTGCCTTCATATATAAACATCAAGGATCAAACTAAACTAGTTTCAAGAAGCATTCATACCTTATTTATTTATTTATACTATATGATATTAGAATTTATATAGATTTACTGAGTTAAAGTTTTGCTTTTAGATTTGATAAAACTATAATGATTATTTAAATTTAGATTTAATTTTAATAGCTACTTTTATTTTATTTTATATTTAAAATTTAGGGAAATTACTTAAACTAGCACAAAAATTACAGTATATTACTACAATAACATCTAAGGAAGAATACTTACTAAAATAGCACATATTTTTGGTAAAAAGACATAATATATACAAGTAATTAAAATTATTACATTCTTGCCATTTGTATTTACCTAAAATTTAAAAATTAAAATTAACTCAAAATATCAAGTAATTCAGGTAATTTTTTTGTGCTAGTCAAAGTAGTGGTACTCGGGTTAATCAACGGAAAAACAAAAGAGGTTTAGGGCTGCCTGAAACTTTCCACCGGAATCAAAATTCTATAGCCACCGGTGATGAAATTCCGGAGCCACCTTTGAACCCTTTTCCTTCATCATCCCTGCTACTCAAATTCGAAATTAATCACTAGAATTTCATCCCCCAGATTTTTTCGGTGTCTCAGCCTTCACCTCCTCTCTCGAAATCTCTAGTTTTGGGAAATTTTCTGTTGTTTTCAATTCGTCATCTCCGCCTGAAGAAACAGATCCCCCAGATTTTTCACGGTGTCTCCGCCCTCACCTCCTCTGTCGAATTCTCTAGTTTCCGCAAAATTTCTGTTCTTTTCAATTCGTGATCTCCGCCTGAAGAAACTGATATCTATATCTCCGCCCTCACATTTGATTAGGTAAAAATTCTATCTCTACAATTTTAGCTTGTGATTGCGAGTGAATATGCATGAATTTTAGTTTGTCAATGAAGGCAAATTTTAGTTACTTGTAGTTGTTTTTATAGTCGCCACACAAGATACTTATATATGTATGTTACATGTACAAATTAATTTTAGTAAATTTGTTGGATAATGAAATGCAGATCACTACTTGGAAACCGGATAAGTGGTCGAATCCCAAAAGAGATTGGAAACAGTCAACCCTTGAGAGATTGTGAGTACTTTTCTTTGATCACTCTCTCTTTTCCAAAATTTTTTGGACAATTCATACTTTGGTAATAGACTGATTCAGTTTTTTTTCTTGTCTGAAACATTTGGGTTTTTAGTGTAGTTGAATACAACCAGATTTCAGGAGCGTTACCTCCAGAGCACGGGAATCTACCAAACATTCAAAGACTGTAAGAACATTTTGTCTCAAATTCTCTAAATAGAAAAAAAAAACAGTTATCGGTCTTTGCTGGTGTTGAGACTCTATTATGTCTTTGTAGCTTTGTTAGCTCGAACTACTTGAGTGGGGACATCCCAAGTACATTTGCCAAACTTACTACATTGACTGATGTGTAAGCGTATTCCTCTGCTTTTTTTTCGATCCCACAACATGTGTTTTGCTGAAGATTCTCACTTTTTTTTTCTTTCCTATATGTATATTTCTCGCTTGCTTTATAGCCGTATAAGTGACAACCAATTCATTGGTGTCATACCAGATTTCATCCAGAACTGGACAAATCTTAGCAAACTGTGAGCAATCTTTTCAGCGTCATTTTGATTCTTCCGTTTTGTATATCGGTATTGGTTACTTATACAGGAGTGCAATTTTTGTTTTATCTGCATGAATCAGGATTATTCAAAGAAGTGGTTTAGTCGGACCGATTCCTGGTACCATTGCTCCTCTTGCGAAGTTAACAGAGCTGTAAGTAGCGTGTGGAATTCGTTATTGTTGTCGCCTTTCGTAGACATCATCGCTATCACCAGAGCAGCTCTGTAGTTGAGGTTTGTACTGATTAATTTTGCAAGAGTAGTGTCTTATTCAATGTGAGAGTAGTGTCGCTGATTTAAGACAAAGTAAAGAACTTGATTTGAGTTTTCAATTCAGGATAACTAAAGAGACGAACATAGAATTACTAAGAGGGGTCATGTTAGTATTTATGATGTTTTATCTTGTTAAACAGAAATATCCTGAAGATTGTGTCAAATTTTTAGATTTTGATAGTTACATGTACACTTAACGTAGCTGTTAAGTTCTTGAAGTGAGTGTTTCATAACTTAATATCTGATGTGAGTGTTTCATAACTTAATATGAGTGTTCTGTTTTTGTAGATATGGCTTCATCAAATGGGAAAGACAGATATCCTCCAAGGCTATGTGAAGAGATAGAAGCTTCTACTAGGATAAGAAGTATATACCACAACTGCTATTTGTCTAATTTTCAAATGGTCTACGAAGGAGTTGGAAATGATGTGTGGAAAGCGTTGAAGGCCTCTTCTGTTGGAGTTATTGTGAAGCTTAGAGATGTTGCTTACATATGGTCATCCAAGACAGTTGAGTACTTGCTGAAACATCAGTTGGTTATTGAGAGCCCTTATGAGATATGGTCATTAATTGATGGTCAGCCTATCCGATTTTCTTTGTATGAGTTTGAGGAGATTACTGGTCTGAATTGTGCTTCTTTTAAAGAGAATGACAGATGGGATGCTGATCATAAAGCGTTTTGGGGAGAAATGAATGTTTGTACATCGGTTGGACCTTCTTTGGATGAGTTGCAAGCGGTCTTAGAGATATGTAAAGACTGGAGTTTTGAGAAGGGGAAAATGGTAGGATGGTTATGTATACTTTCGATAGGAATCCTTGGGATCTCACCTTCTAGTAGGATTCCTCTACAGCTAGCGAAAAGAGTTCTTGATCCTGAAGCTTTTGAAAGCTATCCTTGGGGAAGAGTTGGTTTTAATAGCCTTGTTCAGTCTATTAAGATCTCAACTTATGGCGTGAAGAAGTCAAATACAATTCAAGGATGTGTTCATGTTCTTCTTATATGGGCGTATGAGTCCATTCTTGGATTAGCTGAGCGTTATGGGAAGAAACGTATTCGTGCTGAAGTCCCTCTTCTTTCCTATGCTGGATCTCGCCCAAGAGTCAATTTTGAAGAATTCATTACAAATGAGAAGCAAACTCATGACAATAAGGTAATAATTTCACTGAAATCTCACTTTATTTTTGCAACAATTACTTAGTCTTTGTTACATTTTTTCTCAGGTTCGTGTGAGGCATTTTGTTGAAAGAGAGTGTGATGATATATATAGCTCATGGGATGGAGATAACCAGGATGTGAAGGTCAATAACTTGATTGAAGATATACGTGAGAATCGCTTGGATACACATGCTTGGGATGTCAATGAAGCTTCAGTTAGCAAGAAGCGCCATGTACCTCAACAATCATCAAAAAAGAAGAAAGCTGCGAAAATACATTCTCACGAAGCAGCGACAACTGAGGTGAGTCAATCTCCTATTATTCTTATAATTTTTATATCTTTGTTAGCAAATTTACTGGATTATTGTGATTGATAAATATGTAGGTACAAAAGATACGCTTTGAAGGTGAAAACAGTGGCAATATGAGAGTTCCATCGGAAACTGAGAAGGCAGTCCTTGGAATTGTGGAGATGATGAAGGCGCTGACTGAAAAAGTTGAAAATATGGACAATCACCTTCCTGAGAAGGTTTTGGCGTCAATGAAACCTGCAATTCATGCTGAAGTTAACGCCCAGCTTGACGAGAGACTCGTTACCGTGCACGAGAAGATTGCCAACTTAGAAGATGCAGTAAAGAATATCACTGATCGCCTAAAAGCTGGTGAAAATGTTGAAAGAGCAAATTCCAACGCCAGATGTAGTGATGAAGCGACTAGTAAAGCTATGGTATGTAAAAAAAACTTGTTTTAGATATGTGTTTCTAATGTTGTAATTGTGTGTTGTTTTCTTAAATCTGTTGTACCATATGAATATGATAGTGTTTGTAAAACTTATGCATATTTTGGTAAAAAGTTAAATGTGCTCATTGTATCTTTTTCTGTGGTTTTCTTTTTCTAGTCATGGATGGTCCAAAAAAAAGCTACATCGCAGGATGATTTTCCCATTCAGTGTGTAGTTAAAAATGCGAAGAAGGTGTCTCAGAAAACGGAGAAGGTCACAGAAAACAATGGCTTGGATTGCAAGGAAATTCAGAAACCAGAAGTTCCACATCAAGATATCGTCCGACAAGGTTTGACTACTTCTGAAACTTGGTCTGATCCATTATTACGGCAGAAAGTGAAGACTCTTGGCCCTGGTTAAGATGTCTTCGTTACTGGCTTGAATGCCAATACTCTTAGACCGAAACGAGTGCCACATTTGTCACAATCACAGCAACCTCCTTTCATAGGAAATTCTACTGTCAAGCGTATCATTTCTGGCGTAACCCAGTCGGTGACGGTATATGATCCTTTTGCTGTCGTTGATGAAAGTCTATATGCAAAGTTGTTGGACTTCATGCAACCTGACGAGTAAGTAAAATATTGTATTCCTTTACGTTAGCTTATTTTTAAATTATACTATTTTAACATGAAATCCATACTTTGTCCATTTTTTAGTATGGAACCAATTGCAACATGGGATACAAATGTGGAGTTCTATAAGGTTATCATTACTCCAAGGATACATTGGCCAAATAATACGTATGGATGGTTGACTACCTCGGTGAGTACTAATTTATGGCTCCATTATTTTTTGCTTAATTTTACGGTGGAGATCATAATTATTTTCTTTTTTTTTACAGCATTTATGTGCTGCAATGCTGATGTTCCACAAGAGGTCGATGCGTACACCATCACCATATTATTCATCATGGATTACATTTTTGAATCAGTGGTTTGTCAACACTTGGGTTCGTGATTACAAAACTTTCGACCCAAAGACTTGGATTATACCAGATAAGTATCGTGGAGTATTCAATGGTACGTATCCTGTTGATTCAGTGACAAATAAGAAGTGGATTACTGATGTCGACCATGTGTTCGCCTGTCATTTCATAAATGACAACCATTGGATTGCTCTGGATATAGACTTGGTGAAGGAGAAGATAAATGTATACGACAGCATCATAACCATGGTCATGGATGACAAGGATATTCTGAATTTCTGTAGGCCATTCACCAGGATGATCCCTGCGATGTTGAACGCAATGATTCCGTCTCGGAAGAAGAGCGACAAGCAATTCTTGGCTAAAAGGCTCAAATCCATCCCGCAAAATAATGATCCTGGTGATTGTGGTGTGTACACTTTAAAATACATCGAATGTCTTGCTCTTGGTTGTTCATTCGACGGCTTATCTGATAGGAACATACAAGCACTCCGTCACAAGTTAGCTGCAGAAATACTTGATGAGGTGGGAGAGCCGGGTATGTCGATGTCCATCTCATTACCTGATGGAAAGTTAGGACTTAGAGACTCAGAGTAGTATCAAATATTCATGTTTTTTTTTAACATTTGTAGCTAAGATTTCCTTGACATTGTACTTGTGTTTTTTCTCATCTTTTGAACTCACGATAATATTTTATGAATTCGTCATTACTAAATCAATATCTAACATCTCATAAATATCAAGATCATGCAAACAAGTCGTTTGAAAGAACCCAAATATGTTTGGAATCTCTGCAACACAGTAACGAAACAGTGTCCATGATGGCATTTTTGGAGGATGATTTCGGTAACAACAGAACGAATTAGGCTACAAACAAGGTGTCTCTATAAAGAACCCACTTCATAGAACTGTAGGGATTTAACGGTGCATCAATCAGAGTTATAAGTCATCCAGAAATCGCATTGAAAGTTGGCCTAAAATCATTATTTTCACAGATTTTTCAGAAACTGCAGGTTTTTCAGAAATCGTTTGAGTGACTAAAACTAGTCTGATGGAGCTAATATTTGGTGAAGTTTATGACAGTATATTGGTCTTCATATTCAACGGTGGGATTGCAGAGTTAACGGTTAAATTATGATTTATAGTTGCTTCAAACCAGAAAACAAATAAATTAGTCTAGTGAATGTAGATGTAAAACTTCAAAGAAACAAAAAAGAGCCAAGTGAATGTAGAAGTTATACAACTGGATTTGGGCATGTTTTACAATTATGCCCAACCTGATTACACATTGAACATGCATGTGATTTTCTTGGTCTTTTCTTATCAGTGGCTTTCTCTAAAACAGATTTTCCTCTTGAGTTTTTAGGCCTTCCTGGTGGTTGACGAACCAATGGAGGCAAACACACAGAACTTGAAACGTGATCAGGGACAGGTAATGCATCATCAATTGGCATGGTAGCAGTTGCGTAGGCATTATACAAGTACTTTTTCTAGTAGTATGCATGACAAAGTGATATACGTGACTTCTTACGGGATTCAGCGGCTGCAATTGCATGCACACATGGTATCTTCTCCAAGTCAAATCGTCGACATGAGCATCTTTTGTCCGTTAAATTTACTACATGCGAAGAAGAATTACTGGTAACTTGAGACTGATGTGTGTCAATAGCTTGTACTTGAAGAGACTTTGCGTAAGATACACGAAACTATAAGAGTAGATAAACAATCATCACGTTGTTGCACATTGACCAGCTTAAGATAATAATAAATCAGTATTGAGAATAGGGGGAAACGTAATACCTCTAAGAGTTTTTCAACTCCACGGGTTAAGGTCGTCTTCATTAAAGCTGCATCATTCCGTCGATCTGAATACCATCTTGTCATCATTAACCTCACTGCATCTAATAGTTTCACAATTGGCAAACTTCTTGCATCTGATAGCACCTTATTTATCGATTCTGCAATGTTCGATGTAGTGATGTTATATCTATCTCCAGGGAAATGGGCACGCGCCCACTTTTGTACGTCAGCCCTTTGCAGGTACGCATGTAGTGCAGAATTCAGTAATTTGATCTCATCGAACGTGGTCTCGAAATCAGAGATTCTGTAAGAGTTGGCAGCTTTTTTAACCAAAGGAAATGCATCACCACCTCTAAATCGTAATAGTATATTCTTGTATAGATGGTATGTGCATATTCCTCTACTTGCCATGGGATACACCTTCCCAATCGCATTCCCAATAGCTTTATGTCTATCAGATATAAGTGCAAGCCCCTCGTCATCTGGAATCACGTAGTTAAGCTGTCTGAAAAACCACTCCCAAGATTCATCATTTTCTGTGTCAACTACGGCAAACGCGATTGGAAATATTTGAAAATTTCCATCTTGAGCTGAAGCGGTAAGTAGCGTTCCTTTGTATTTTCCTTTTAAAAAGGTTCCATCAACAACGACCACCTTCCTCAGGAAAGGAAAACTATTCATGCTACCACCAAATGCAAGGAAGAGATATTTAAATCTACCACAATCATCAACTTTTAAACGTGTGAGCGTTCCAGGATTTGCTCTTCTAATCATATAGAGGTATGCAGGCAAATCTTCATATCCGCTCTCTGCAGAATTCCTGACCAAATTCCGTGCTTCCAAGAGTGTTCGATGTGCCTTCCAGTAATCCATCTATCGCAAAAAATAATGAAGAACACAATGAATACCACAATATTACGGTAATGATTAACACGTTATTGCCGAAATAACTCTAACCTTGATACCAAATCTCATTTTCATAGCTTCGGCAACATGACTTGGCAAAACCTTTGACCCAACACCACCAACATGATCCTTATACAAAAGTCCAAGTATAGCTGGCGTTGCTTGACGGAACCTGGCAGAACGCTCTGTAACAGAACATGTATGTTCTGCGACATACACCCGAATAGTAAATTATGAGGAATCTCCAACCGGTGTAGCTCGAACTCTCCAAGTGCAGCCTTCCACCCAACATTTAACTACTAAAAGATTGGGCCTTGATCTGTCGACATCAAAATCAAATTGATGTATAACTGATAGAATCTTCAGTTTAGTTTCCAATGCATCTTTAGAGGCGTATTGTTGTCCAACGGCAAGTGAAGTCATCTCCAAAGTAACATGTGGTGTCACGTCCTTTACTTCCTTGGTCACCATCGTGGGTTGTCTCTTCTTAATAGATAGGCTTTGTTTCACATCTTCTTCTTCCAAAGGCATCCCATATAAACTAAAATCCTCATCATCCGATGATGCTCCGTCAGAATCATCACAATAATCAAACCGGTGATCATTGTCATCCTCATCTTGATCTGTTATACATGGTGTAACCACGTCAATCTTCACTCTGTTTTTATCAGCGCGGTTGTCTTCATGTTTCTGATCTTCATGTTTACTCTGCTTATCATAAGCAATCAAAACCTCCTTTGCTACTTCTTTTGATGAACATGCTTCTTTGTCCATAGCTTTCTCCTTCAGTTCAACGCAAAGCCGCATTGGTTCTGTTTTTAGTTGGCCCAGAAAACCTTGAAGTTGTCTGCAATTTTTAACTTTTACAGGAGGAGTATTTTGCGGCAATTTTAGCAAAACCTTCTTAGAAAACATGTAACTCAATTCCACATCGTAGAATCTCCACTCAACTTTGTAATCTTCAATAACCATGCGAATCAAATCTTCATAGTGAGTATCATTATTTGCTGTGAGAATTTTGCACCCCTTTTTCTGATCAACTTCGAACATCCATCTGTTTTTGTCGAAAATCCATTTGCCACAAATAAGTATAATTTGATCCATTGAATTGAAAAAGAAAAACAAAACGTTTAATTCATCATGATGGAAAAGAGAGAGTCGACAGGTTGAATGGAAAAGAAGAGAGAGTCACGTTGTATTGAAAAAGTGGCTGCCATAGATAGAAGTTAGGTTACGATATTTGTTAATTTTAACGAAAAAACTGCCATAACATAAGTCCGTTGTTTGCCTGTAAAGTCTGTTGTTGAAGAAAAACATGCAGAAGGCTATTGTAGTAAAGAAATTAATCTGTCGTTATAGATCATCTAAAGTCTGCCATCAAAAAAAATATTTTCGTCATAAATTAGAAAACTGCTGCCAAAGGTATGTATATCTGTTATAACAGAGAAGCTATTGCACTACAAGAAAATATGCGATTTGCGTCGGTAATATTGGTCGCAAGTCCGTCGCAAAAGGTATATTACGACGGAATTGCGACGGAATCCAAAACATCGCAATTCTTTAGCCGCAAATCTAAAATCGTCGCAAAAGTGTCGCAAATTTTACGACGAACGAAAAACAACGCAAACCGGTCGCAAATTTTGCGATGAGCAAAGCACATCGCAAATATTGCGAGCAACACAATATGCCGTAAGAACGTCGTAATCTCCGTTCGTCGCAAATTTGAGTGGACTGATCTTATAGCCTTCGTCGCAAGTCCGTCGTAAATATTACGACAGACTTGCAACTAATTATATATCGTTCGTCGTAAATCCGTCGTAAATGTTGCGACAGACTTTCGACTAATTATATATCGTTCGTCGCAAATCCGTCGCAAATTATTAAATATTTTATAATAAAAAATTAACAAAAAAAACATAAATACCAACCAAAATATATTAAATTAATTTATAAAACTAACAAAATATATTAATTTAAATATGTATTTATATTATAAAAATTGAATAGTTTGAAAATCTAACAAAAAAATCAATTTTATATCTAATAATTTATAAATCTAACAAAATTAAAACCTAAATCTAATAAGTTATAAAAATAAATCTGGCAAATTCCAAACCTAAATCTAACCATTCATCAATCTAACAAAATCAAATCCAAAATCTTACAAACACAAATACTAACAAATTCAATATTTAACAATGTTTCTCTCTTTCTCTCTATTCAATAATCAAATTCAAAAAAATTGTTAGAGTTTGAGAGAGAGAAAGATAGAGAAAGGTAGTGAGGGACATAGAGAAACCAGAGATGTGGAGAAGAACTAGTGTGAAGAGAAGCAGAAGAGAGGGAGATAGAGTGGCTAAGAGAAGAAAAATAGATACAGAGATCGAGAGAGGAAGAGAAGAAAAGAAGCAGAATCAATATAATAACAGATATTGCGACGGATTTGCGACGGTCTATCTAATAAAATTTTGCGCGCATTCGTCAAATTTTCTTTGAAAATTCAAAATATTTCGACCAAAAATTTCAAAAAATTTCAGTTTGCGAGGCATTTGCGACGGATCCGTAGCAAATCCGTCGCAAATTTCATATTTTCCTAAAATATCAAAAACACTATTAAAATGAATTTAAATTCATTTAATAATGATTCAAAGTATGTATAATCAAAATAGATGATGTTTTAGTGATACCATATCTAAAACTTGAAAAATGTATATCATATTAAAATCAAGATAGGTTATAATAAATGTTAAAAGATTAAAAGAGTTATAAGAAAAATGCTTATATATAAGTTTGAAAATATATATTTTTAACAATGTACAATTGTTTGAAAATATATACTTTTAACAATGTAGAATTGTTTGAAAATTTATAATAACTATAAATTTGATTGTATGAATAAACACTTCTAACTATATTAAAACAAAATTGAATACATTTATACGTCTTTTTGTGTGTTTTATATAAAATTCAAAACTTAAAACCTTAAACCCTTACAAATAATTTTTTTTGCGACAGATTTGCTACGGATCCGTCGCAAATCCCTTGCAAATTTTTGATTTGCGATGGACTTGCGATGGATCCGTAGCAAATCCGTCGCAAATTAATGTTTGTCAAACATATCGAAAACACTTTTTAAACGAATTTAAATTCATTTGATAATCATTGAAAGTATGTATAATCAAAATATATGATGTTTTAGTGATATCATATCTAAAACTTGAAAAATTATATGATAATATTAAAATCAAGATAAGATACAGTTAATGTTAAAAGATAAGTAAAAGAGTTAGAAGATAAATGTTTATATACTTTTAACAATGTATAGTTGTTTAAAAATTTATAATAGCTATAAATTTGATTGTATGAATGAACACTTCTAACCATATTAAAACAAAATTGAATACATATACACGCTGTTTGGTTTGTTTTATATAAACCCTAAACCCTAAACCCCAAACCCTAAACTTTAAACCCTAAACCTTTACAAAAAAAAATTTGCTGCGGATTTGCTACAGATCCGTCGCAAATCCCTAGCAAAGTTTTGATTTGCGACGGACTTGCGATGGATCCGTCGTAATTCCGTCGCAAATTTTAAATTTGTCAACAATATCAAAAACACTTTTAAAACGAATTTAAATTCATTTGATAATGATTAAAAGTATGCATAATCAAAATATATGATGTTTTAGTGATACCATATCTAAAACTTGAAAAATGTATATGATCATATTAAAATCAAGATAGGATATAGTTAATGTTAAAAGAGAAGTAAAAGAGTTAGAAGAAACGTTTATATACTTTTAACAATGTACAATTGTTTAAAAGTTTATAATAACTATAAGTTTGATTGTCTATATGAAATACACTTCTAACCATATTAAAAAAAAAAAACTGAATACATATATACGCATTTTTGTTTGTTTTATTTAAAATCCTAAACCTTTACAAATATTTTTTTTGCGACGGATTTGCTACGGATCTGTCGCAAATCCCTAGCAAAATTTTGATTTGCGACGGGCTTGCGATGTATCCGTAACAAATCCGTCGCAAAATTTAATTTGCCAAATGCATCGAAAACACTTTTTAAAACAAAGTTAATTAGAAATATATATAATCAAAATAGATGATGTTTTAGTGATACCATATCTAAAACTTGAAAAAAGTATATCATATTCAATGAATTTAAATTCGTTTTAAAAAGTGTTTTTGGATGTTTTGGATAAATTCAAAATTTGTTTTCATAACCTAATACAGTAATACTCGCAAATCTCTTGCAATGCGGTTGCAAATATGCTGCATCGCAAATTAGTCGCAATTCGCGACGACTTTGCGATGAATAATATTTTTGCAAATTTGCGATGGATATGCGACAAAATAAGAAATATGTAGCAAATCCGTCGCAAATCCATCGCAGATTTGCGAGGAATATTCTCCGTCGCAAAATTCCGACGCAAATCGAGTGTTTTCTTGTAGTGTTGTAGTAATAAAATTGTAAATTGTTTTTGATGACAGACTATTAAAAAACTGTTGATGTTATTAAAAACTGCTATGTAGTATAACTATTAATCTGTCGCAGAAAATAAATATGTGACATAAATCTGTCGCGGCATAAAAGTCTGTTTTACCATACAACAGATCTCTGAAAGAAATCTGTCACGTAAAATAAAACTGTTATCCTAAAAAAAATCTGTTATTTCGTGTGGTAGACTTATCCCAAAAATCTGTCACGTTGATTATAACTGTCATATAGATAAAAAAACTGTTACATAGCATGACAGATTCATTAACGAAAATCTGTTACTCAAAAAACAAGTCTGTTATTTATAATATATCTGACGAATAAAATAAAATTCTGCTACCAAATAAACAACCGATTTTTACAAATTTCACGAAATAATATGCCCAGATGTGAGTGGCAATATCGTTAATATTGATTTTTTAGTAAAAAAAATTAATGGCAATTTCGTAAATACTTTATTCCTATCAAAGCCTAAAAGGGTATTATAGACATAAAAAATGAGTGAGTAATAAAATTAAAATAAGAGTTATTCTAGTAATTAACATTAATTTTAGAGCTATTTCAGTAATCTTCCCTAAAATTTATTTTATTTTTCTAAAAAGCTCAAAAAATTCAAAAAATTCTGATAATCTTGTTAGGGCCGGGCCAGGCTTTAAAGTATAGGCCTAATATATTATCAGGTCGGATCAAGCTTAAATATATGCAGACTTTACGGGTTTCGTGTCGGGTCGGGGCAGACTAGCCTGTTTGACATGCCTACAACTACAAATATGTAAAGCAAATTATGAGTTAGACGGTTTAGTTATACTTTAAGATGCAATTGAGCTTTCCAAAAACAAAATCTGATCAACTTGAACTGGCCTTACCCATATTATGTTGGGCTGGGCTAAATATTAACCATACTGATGCAAATGACTTTTATTCATGATGATGATACTGATTCAAACCAAATTAGAAAATAGTTTTGTTGACAAAATAATAGTAACACTAGGTAATAGCCCGCACCCTGTGCGGGGTGAAATAATAACTATTTATTTAATATAGTATAATTTCAAAATCATATAGAAAAATACAATTGATTTTATATGAATTGTTTATAACATTATGCTGCAATATTGACAAAATAATTTTTTTGTTTATTTTATGAAATATAAGGTAATTTATTTCTAATGTAAATTAGTTTAAAAATTAAATATATATGCAGAATCTGGATAAAAATACGAAGTCACTCTTTATATTTTCTATAACTCATGATTAATAACATGAGCTTAAAATTAAAAAAAAATAAAAGGAGTATATTTTGATTAAATTATTAAGTATCTAATGCGTTATGATAATAAAAATTTACTACTTTCTCTGTTTCATAATATTAATTTTTTTAAGATTTTGTTTTGTTTCATAATATAGTTACTTCTTATGAATACTATATGACCGATTATATTTTTTCATAATTAGTTGAATTATATTTAATTTATATACTAAATGATTAATTTTTTAAAAGAAAAGTTGCTTTTTAATCTTTGTGCTTTGATGCAAAACAACTTATATTTGGAAATAGAGAGTATTAAAATTGTAAAAATAAAATTTGTTTCATAATATTAGTTTTTTGAGGTTTTGTTATGTTCAACAATATAGTTGTTTTTATTTTTTTACTACTAACCGATTATATTTTTTATTTTTTTATAATTAGTTGAATTATATTTAATTTATATACTAAATGATTACTTTTAAAAAAGAAAAGTTGCTTTTTAATCTTTGTGCTTTGATGCAAAAAGACTTATATTTGAAAATAGAGAGTATTAAAATTGTAAAAATAAAAATTTTATTATAAAATTTTATAATCGATTTAGTTATTTTTTGTACGAATGTGAATGCATATTTAGATTAATCCGCAAAAACTATAGTCATAAGAATATTAACTTTTATGAAAAAAGTTACTGTGAAATTTATTTTAAATACTAAATATACATAAGGATTATATAAAAATAGATTATATATTTTTTTAATAAATTATTTAAAATTGCATATAACTGAGTCAATACTTCTACATTCTTAACATTTTGATTCAATAAAAATATTTTTAATATCATAAAAGTTTAATAAAATTATTATATAATATCCTTACAAAAATATTTTAATTTTTACCAAGTTATATTTTTGTATAAACTAAAAAATTATGATATTTAACTTTTTAATCAAAGAAAATATTTAAAATATTATATTCTATTAAGATATTCAACTATTTTTTATAGTTCAACTTTTTATTAAAATTTTGTACTTATTATAAAGTTTAAATATTTATATTATTTGGTTAATTTATATGGTTCTAAAACCATATGAAACCAAAAATAATTATAATAATAATATCTATTAAATTAAGCTTTTTGTTTTTTTATCATTTATGTATTTTTATATTGATTTATGAATCATCTATCTACACATCCTTCTTTTTAATTTTAGTCTTTCAAAACATACTTTTATTTATTAATCATTTGAGTAATTTATATTTTTTTATGAATTTCGAATTATAACACAGAATATATATATATATATATATATATATTACTATATGAATGATTTGATGATTTATTTTCATACAAAAATAAAATATAAAATATAGTATTTAAAGAAATAATTAATATGATATATTTTTGGTAAGAAATGGAAAAGAGAATATCTTGATGAATCATCATCAATATATTATTGATATAAACTAATGTATAACCAAATTAATGTGAGTGGCATAACATGTAATTAATCTAGTAACATAAGTCTTTTTTTATAACTTTGCTGAAAATGATTCTGGTGATGACACATCAGCAAAATAGCACCATTGTAATATTTTACAAAATTAAGGTTATTCATTAAAAATGCTTCTCTTTTAATATATAGGGGATTTGATTAAAGCATGGACGTAAAATGGACTCTGAAAAATGAAGTTTTCAACAACATATTTCCTACCGATTTGAACTTCAAATGATAACACATTGGAGGAAATCATTAATCATAATACCGTTAGATAAAAAAAAGGATGATATTGTACCAAATCAGAGTTGTTTTATATTTTCGATGTAATAGTTGGCATCTGCTAATATAGAGATCTAGAAATTACACTAATAAGTAAGTGTATACATTAAAATAAACTAACAATTGTTGTAAATCTAATAGGAAAGTGTGTGAGGAGGAAAGGACGTAGAGGAGCCAAATCTTGACGTTGCACACGTGAGAGGCAAAAACTGTATTTCAGCCGCAAGAATCTCTCGTACCCTGTTTTTATTACAAGGTCAACTTCTGGTCTCTCTCTCTCTCACTCTTAACTTCTAAATCTTACTTATATTAACAATAATCTAAATTATTTATCAGATACTGATTTCAAATCTAAACCAATAAATAAATTCAACAAACGTAACTCCAAATTCAGGAAAATATTTTAAAACATTTAAAACATCGGTTTTATGATCACTCACCTCACATAGAACCTTCTTCGTCTTCTTCACTATAAAATCTTTAACTGTTTCTCAAACTCATCACTGAAAAAAAAGAAAGAAGCTCAAATTTTTTACAAATGGCGTCGATCACTTGTTCATCTGATCAACGTCTTTCCACAAGCAAAAGACGTTTAAAGCCGTTGATGCTAAGAGATTACTTACTCGATGATCTCAGTTCTTGTTCATCCAACGGCTTCAAATCATTCCCACGTCGTCAAACTCATCCTTCTTCGTCACCATCATCCACCGTTCGTCGTCTCCTTGACGCTGAGATCAAACGGTCAGGATTGATACACCCTCACAAACCGCGTCTCACCAGAAGACGCCGTACGACTTGCGGAACGTCGATCAGTCACGCCGTTCATAAAGCCTCGACCTCGTTTCTTAACGCCGTTAAACTCTTACCGTTCCCTTCTACTTCCACCGTTACGTCACGGAAGGGAGATCAGAAACCAGGCGTTTTCTCTAGAAGCTTCTCTAAACGGCTTTTAAGCAGAAGCTTCTGGAGAAAATCGACAAGTCGATCTCGCCGTGAAGTAACCGTCGTTGACGGAGACGGAGAGATTCAATGGTGGAGATCCGCCGCGTTTTTCTCGGACGAAGAGAGTTTAGATAAACCGTCCGATCTGATTTCTCAAATCTCCACCGTCGTCCCCGACGAAGCAACATTCTCACTCTCTACGAAGATCACCACCGTGGAATTTATCTCCGGTGATTCGTCGAGTTCCGGTAGCGAGATTTTTACGAACTCGTCGTCGTCGTCGTCGTCGGAGGAGGTTGTACAGTCTTCTTCTTCATCGTTCTCATCGACGTCGAGCGGTGAATCTGAAGAAGTGTCGAACGAAACCGACGCCGTGGATGACGGGAGTGAAAGCGGAGAGAGTTTAAACGCACATGACTGTGACGGATCATCTGTCAACCGCAACAGCCTGTGTAACAGAAAGGTTAGTTCGTTAGAAGATCGTTTTCTTTCTTCAGTGTACAACTGTGCAGTGTGAATGCATTTGAATTAATTTTAATATTATTTAAAATTAGAAAAAAGGTCCGATATTGAAACTTGTCGGGGAACGCGTGCGAGTCACGTGTGGTGTGGGATGTAGATTTAAATGGTATTAGCGATGAAATCGAGGGCTGAGATTCTTCGACGTAGCTTCTAATGCGGATTATACGGCTGATATCCCTCGAGAGTAGTGTTTGTTTCATGGTACTCTCCACGTAATTATTTACTCTCGTTCGTACACATTTCATTAGAATTTATATTTCTTTTAGTTAGATACGCATATCTTCACACATTTACATAAGTGGTACTATAGCTATTAACAATTTAACATTATATTCAAAAATTAGTTTCATATTATATCACCCATGTTCATGAAATTTACTAACTTATTTGAAGATTTATTCTCGGATTTGATTATATAAAACTTCTTTAAAATAACAAATTATTAATTTTAATGGGGGCAAAGACAGATAGGTAGATAGAGATATGGTGTTGTCGTGGGATAGGTTGACTTTTGTCAACTTATTAATATCACTATGATTTTTCATATCATTTATTTTTGTTTTTGTTGAGACCAGTTTTAGTTTAGTTATTATTTCACAATGTGGTGTGATTACATATCTGGAATTGATTATTAATTGCAATTTCTTTTAGGAATTTGTGAACGAAGAAAAGGAACAACTTAGTCCAGTGTCAATCTTGGAGTGTCCTTTCGAAGATGATGAAGAAGACGATGCAATCACTGATCTTATTTCACACCAAAATGGTAATGAATTTAGGCTAATTATTGATATTTAACAAATGGTTATATACAGTACAAGAAAAATGTGATTTTGTAACTAACTTTATACGTTAATATTAGCAGATACATATGAGAAAATTGCAAGAAAAGGTAGGAGATTAAATGGTTCGGTACGAGTTGAGCCACTAGAACTGGAGAAACGTATAGAGAAGTATGAGGAAAGACAAGAAGAGTACTCATATTACACGCTAGAAATAACTGAAGAGGACGAATCAGAAAACCGAGCAAACCACTTGTTTGCTCTTGTGAAATCAAGAATCGGTGAGACAAACAACATACTAGCTTCTAAAGTAGCGGACAATCTACTGTTAGATTATCTTCAAGAAGAAAATATTGGTGCAAAAGAGGAGACATTAATGGTGAAGACCGTAGAAGATTGGGTGATGGATAGGCAAGAAGAGATCTTTATGAGTTGGGAAGTGAGAGAGAAGAGAGAGGTTTACGTGAAAGAAATGAAATGGGGTTGCATTAATGGAGATGAGAGAGATAATGTGGTTGAAGATTTGGCTAATGGTTTCTTCACTACCTTGGTGGATGAATTTATCCTTGACTTAGCTTCGTGATGATATTTCTAGTTTTTGTGGTCGAGAGTTAAGATTTTGACATTTTTTTAAAGTATTACTCATTATATTAGATTTCACAATGTAATAGACTGTTATCTCGAATAAAACTTTTATGTAGTTTTAATATATATAAGAGGAATGATTCGTATTAGAACTTTATGTAGGTCATTTCCCCCCAATTTTTAGAGTCTAGTGTGAGATTTAGAGCCCATAGTCACTAAATCATTATGTGTTGTTTGATCAACTCTTAATATTATGTGTACTCTAAGTTGGTTTACTTTCAAATTCGAAATGAAATTTAAAAATTATTATTTTGTAATTAAGCTAGAGAGTATGAACACTACATACACATAATTCATTCACAAAATCGATTGAAATATATTTTTAAGTGTACATGATCATAGGCCCAAATTGTTACTTACTGATCATAAGCCCAATTATTGATATTAGAAGAGATATATTTGATGAAGAAACATGTATGTGTATCTCGTGTATTTTTCATATCTTAGAGCAATCATAGTTAATATTTCAACTTTTCTTTCCTTCTTCTAGTTACTTGTCTTTTACTACGTAATAGTTTTTTTTTTTGTGTTTGTCTTTTTTTTGTTGAGAAAGAGTTTGCAATTTTTTTTTGGTGTGTTTGTTAATAGTTTAATAATAGTTTTTGTGTTCGTTTTCATCAACTCTATTAGATTTTATTTTTTGCAATTGTATGTGGGAAATGCATATACTTTTCGAAAGTTTTATTTATATGTATGTACAAAATAATATGGTATTTAATTTTAGTTTTGATAATATCCACTAATTCAAATAATTTTGCTCCCGTTAATTATATTTTTGGACAGTCCTTGTATTATATAGTACTCAAGTACATTTTTACTGCCATGTATTTTGCTTTCCGGAGTTCCTTTTCGAACGTAGGAATAAAATAAAATAAGTCCAACAAAACATTGTTCATATGTTATGATTTGATTGATAGTCTCACCTTCAATAATTAACATTTTACACGTGTACTAAAGTGTTTCTGGTCAGACAAGTCCACGTGAAATTTTGACTCTACAGATTTAACAAAATATGGTATGAAATCATCCCAAATAAAAACTGTCTTTTTTCGTTGTGGAAAATGCTTTGTAATAGATGTTTTTTTGGTATGATTAGGTTTTCCATTATTTTATTTTATTGTAAAGAAAGCATATTTCCTGGGAAAAAGGGCATCTACAAAAAAAAAAAAAAAAAGAGAGTATCCTTTTCTTCTACTGTTATTTATTTTTAAAAATTTGAAGAAAGCCACAATAAACCCTAAATAAAATTTCCCCCTTTTAGCAGCTGCCTCTTTTTTTCCGATTCACCTTCCGCCGACTGAATCATGAGGGGATTCAAACGCGCCGCCGTTTCCGAATCGAATGAATCTCCCGTGAGTTTTCTGCGTTTTTATTTTGTGTGCGGTGGTAAAATTTACGGTTTCGTTTGAAACTCGTAAAGAATTCGGTTTTGGGTAGAGATTATCTGTTTCGGGTTTAGAAGAGAAAAATTGAAACTTTCGGTATCTTTTTAGTGGGTGATTGATGATTAGTTTATCAAAATTTCTATATATTTTGGGTGATGATGAATGAATAAAGTCTGTAACTTTTATAATGTTAAGTAGTTGTGGGCATTGTATTTAGTTCCAAGTAGTTGCTTTAGCTTTTCAATTTTGAGTCTTTTAAAGTTTTCTACCTAATGCACAATTTGATATCGAATTGAATCTGTGTCCTTTACATTCGTTGTCAAATCTACTTTTGTCTTTGCTTCACTTGGAGATAATTTTTGAAAGGGAATATGCAGTTTAAGAATTCAAAACCAGTGGAAGGATCCTTATTTGGTACCCAGAATGTGGCAACGATGCAGCAGAGTCCATTAACATCGGCATCGTTGGATAAACAGAGGGCTGAGTTAGCTAGGAAGCATGTGAGAGCTCTTAATAACCAATTTGTAAGGTGAAGAGTTGGTTTCTTTTGAAAAAGATTTTGACTTCACTTGTTGGGTCTTCGTTTATACTTTCAATAAGAGATTGCTTATGCTTCAATGTAAACAAAAAAAAAAAAACAGTTGGGTGCAAATACAGCTGAAGAATCATCCTGATGAACTTTGGGAAGATGGGATGAATGACTACATTAGCCATGCTTCAAACATTCTGGTATATTCTCCATTTACATGACTTTTCCTCTTAATGCTTAATGAGGTTCTTGGTCTCTCTTTCAAAATGAAAAATCATCTAAAGTAGCTAACTCCTTGAGTCTCTTGCTTCTTTTGTGATAAATCTGATTTGTTTTAGTTCACTAGCTCATCAGTTTTCTGCTTTATGTTGGTTCTGCAGGAAAAGTTTAAGGATGTGGTCAACTGGCTAAAAGAAAATAAGGGAAAGGGGGAGAATGTATCCCCTGAATCTCGTGGAGCAGAGAAGAAACTAGTGGCTGAAGTCAAGAACAGCGACGATAAATCGGTCTCAAACAATCAACCTGTGCTCTTCTCAAACAACCAATCTTCCAATTTTTCCAGTAGTCAGTCTGGTTTGTTTTCAAGCCAGCCTGGAGCATTCTCCAGCAGTCCATTTGGTTTAGCATCCAGTAGCCAAACCGGATCTTTTAGCAGTGGCCAGTTTGGTTTGACCAAAAGCAGCCCATCAAGCCTATTTTCAAGCAGTCAAGCAGGAGGAGTTTCTAATAGCCAACCTTCTTTCTCATTATCTAATAATCAAAACCTTTTTTTCTCTGGAGGTATCTACTTTCACATGAGCAGAGTGCATTTATTTGGACTTGTCATTAATCAGCTTTGCATCTTCAGGACAAGTTTATGTCAGGGACCTAACCTCTACTTTTCTTGTTTGCTGGTGATAGTAACTCCAGTGTCCATACCGGCAAAGCGGGATTCCCCAGAAGATGCAGACGGTGGTGAGTTTATCAGTATTATGGTTTTGTTATCATTCTTCTTCGAAAGTTTGTGATAGTGCAAACCCATTTCATACAATGATTATCCGAACTTCAATTTACCTGGAGGAAACTATCTATCTTTAACAAATCTTGAGGGATAATGGGCTTGTAAACATCGAATTGTTTTTTACTCTGCAGAAGATGAACAACCTCAACCGAGCAGCCCATCTGTCAAAAAGACGGAAGAGAAGGGTGTTACTGTTGTTCATGAAGTTAAATGCAAGCTTTATGTCAAGGTATTTGTTTATCTGAAACTTGGATGTTATTTTTCTGCTGAATCTACAATATTCTCCCTTGTTTTTCAAGTAGCTGCACTCACTGTATCGGTCCAGCACACTGCTGAAATATAACTAAAGTGACGTAATATGAAACCACTAAAGGTTGTTAGTGATTGGAACTATTCTTTCCCAATTAATCTTCCTCGTAGGTGTCATAGTGCTTGTAAAGGACTTTCATCTTTACCATAGTAACTTGTTTTAACCTTTGTGTCAATGTTATTATGCAGTCAAATGATCCAGCAGATAAAGGTACATGGAAAGATAAAGGAACTGGGAATCTCTCCATAAAATGCAAAGAAGGCGTAGACAAGGGGACAAAAGAATCCAAACCCACAATTCTTGTCCGGAACGATGTATGATTCAGTACAAAGACACACACTTCACATTCAACTTGGTCTAAAGAATCTCAACATTATGAATCCATTTTTCTTTTGCCAGGTCGGGAAACTGCTTCTGAATGCTCTACTGTACGCTGGAATCAAGACGAGCGCACAGAAGAACGCACTTGTTGCTATATTCCACTCCTCGGTAAATATAAACCGTTGAGAAGCTTTTCCTCTATTGGTGAGTTGTTGTTTTTCTGATTTTATCTTACCTGCAACAGGAGGATTCCAACGAGAATGTAACACCTAGAACCTTCCTGATAAGGACAAAGAACGCAGAGGCTAGGGATAAGTTAGCAACAGCCATCCAAGAATACGCACCTTCTTCATAAAAATGCTCAAACCCAGGCTGAGATCTTTTACTGTACCACCACCTTTTTCAATCTTATTATTGAGTCATCCATTCTATTTTGTTTTCACCTTGATTTGTAATATTAGGAAGGCTCTGAAGATTAACATAAAGCTTGACTAAAGAGCATAAAATTGTTGTATGGTTGAGAAAATGTGAGAGAAAGAAGGCCAAAAGTTACTTTGTAGCTTATAAGAGAATGTCGTGTCAGTCTTTGTAACTTTAAAACCCAAAAACAATAAAATCATTTCTTTTTCATATATTCATCTGATTCAACTATGATTAATACAAGTGTACATCAGAATACTGGAATTTAGTACCTATCAAAAGGCATATATGTATATTCCATCAATATTCATTCATAGCAAACAAGAAGCAGAGAGGCTACATACATTACATTCTAAATTTATACAAATGAGAGGGAAACAATCAAGGATCAGTGAAGAACTGGTCCATATCTAACACTCTCCGTTTTGTTTCTGTGAAGATTCTCCGTTTTGTTTCTGTGATCTATGAATAACGAAATAATCCACTACTTTTACGGTAGCAACAGGGTCTTGTTGCGATGTTGATGCACACCATTTACTTGGATACTTTCTCTTATGGCTCATCACCCCACTCTGTTTCGGCTCTGAATCCCAATCTTTGTCCAGCTTCCAGTCTTTTGGCACCTAAACTCATATCACATACACAGACAGCTCTCGTTACAGTTCCTTAAACATGGATTTAACAACTTAAGAAATCAACAAAACCAATGACAGGACAGGATCCATAAAGACTGGTTCGAGATAATCATTTGTATAATCAGTTTTGTAGCAACCGTTGCAAGTAGAGTTTTCTCTTACCTTATCAACCGCGAGAGTGAATACTTCGATGTCTTTGTTCTCTTTGATGTGGAAACGGGTGAAAGATTTGTAATTGGCAATGCGGAGTGAAGAGAAAGCTTCATCAAAGTGAATGTGGAGCCAGTTGATGCAGATATACAAGTAGCTTCCAAACACCAAAGACACCACAGGAGTCGAGAAGACCCAGAAGTAAAGGAAGACAGAAGCATAATAAATAACAGCTCCGCTTCGGGACAGCGACTCCATCCCTTCTTTGCAAATGTTTGTCCGGGTAACAGCCATCACCTGATGTTAAAACGCATTCAGGTAGGTTTCTTAAATTGGATTTTCCGTGGTTTTACGAAACAGACACAAAACACAGTAGAGTTAATTACCTCGGGAACATCAAATGCTGACATAAGATACTTGATGCATGCAGGATAAAGGCCAAACGTCCATTGTTCGATACGGGCTCGAAGGCCAGTAGGGTCAGGGAAATGCTCGCTTTCCACTGATTTGTACCACTGATACAATGAATGATACCCTGTGCGAGAAAAAGTGGAGTCGTGAGAACAATATCACAGAAAAATTCATTCAGTGTGCAATTGAATGTTGCAGCTTGGCATGAAACACAAACAAGTATATATGGAATGGACAACTGACCAGAATTTGCAAGGAGATTATGCTGAATACAGATTTCTATGCCCAGCTCCAACATCAACATGAGAATCAGAGCTGCCATCAGGTGAGCAGCAACATGAAGAACTCCTATTAGCACTCTTTTCTTCCGAGATATTTTTGAAGGGACAAATATGATTGCACTGATCAGTAACATCAGGACACCCGTAAAAGACACATAAGATTGTTCCATCACATATACAAAGGCGCTCCAAACTGTGCCTAAGAAACTCTCCAGGTGACCAGAAAACGAATCGCCTCGTAAGATATGGGCTAGCTTACACTGAAACCAATGAGGAACAAGAAGGAATGAGAAAGCAATTTTCTTGTGAGCAGTGAATTCTCATAAGAAAAAGAAGAACATATATGCGAATCTGTAGGATAAAAGAAACCCACTATATAATATAAAAGCTCAGCTTCCCTATCTGGCTAAACCATAAATGGATGTTGGGCACTGTTTAAAAAGGACAAGCGAGCTTGAAACACACCTGAGGGAACAATGAAAAGACCAAGATAAAGTATATAATGCCACCAATGAAATCAAATTGCCAGTTCTTCTTCCGGAACTTCAATATATTTCCCAAAGCAATCTGCAAACAACAGAAAACACCATATAACATCGGAAGGCAAGTTAGTGATAAATAGACTGGGGAAAGAAACGTTTACCTTGCTTGAATCATCAAAAGATGGGTAGGCAGCCTTGCTTCCATAGGAAGCCCCATAGAACTTTGAAAATTTGCTGAACACATGGGTGGGATGCAGAAAAGCTCCTCCACAGCCATTAACAAGAAGATGTTGGACATGGGTAGGTCCATCTGATTGAGTACATGAATGTCGCATATAATGATGCAAATCCCCTGCCATTCTAAGTTTACACCTGTCTTTCAGAACGTCGCATATCAGATGCCTCACGTTCTTCCCTGTATCGCAGCTCCAGTACCAATCAAGAAGCCAGTTTGGTTCATGCGTGATAATGATCACTGCATCATCCTCTTCAACCTAAATGAGAAAAACAATAATTTTGTCCAAAAACAAAAATGAGAAAAACAATAATTTTACTTGAGCAACGAAATGAAACTTGAGTAATATGAAAAGACAAAGCCACTAGAATATAGCCTAAACCGCTTTTTAGGAGTACTTCAGAAACTAAAGATATCAGCAAATTTATACCAGAGTAATACAGTATATATACTAAATCGGTAACATAATAATGGCAGAACTCTGACTAGGTGATAAAAAGTATTCACAAATTACCTTCTCCTTCACCAATTCGGAAAAGAACTTGAACTGGTCGACATCAATATCACCATGAAGTGCAAGATCCAAACCAAACACCCACCATCTCTGAGGTAGCTGCAGGGCAAAATAGCTTTTCTTCTGGGGCATAAACCAGCCGCCTAACCAACTCTTATGACATATATACCTCATGAAAGTATTGAGTCCGTCGAACCAGTCTACAAAATAAGAAACAACAATCTATAGTCTGAGGAAATGGCAGAAGAAACCAAAGAAAGTATGTGAAACAAATTATTCTTAAGGTAAAAATGAAGGTGATACCCAGAACTCACCATGGTTTCCGGGGATGAGAAAACATTGAGGACCATCATAATCCTTTAAATCTTTCACTCCCTCGGGTAATTCAGGCTTGTCAACAGCGATAGAGTCATTTTTATACCAAGGTGGAGGCTGGAGTGCATACTCAAAAGGACAAAAGAGACGTTTCTCATATGTAAACGATGATGGATTGGGGTATCTGAGACATATCATTGAAAGACATCCACGGTTACATTTAGAACTGCCAAAAGCTAAAGGATATGCTTAAAGCTACAAATAATATGTAAAGCACTTACGCAAGATCTCCTCCAATAAGCAGTACATTCCCCCGTGGTAAAGGTCGAGCTTTACCATCCACCAAGACTTCGATAGTAGGCTGAGCAAGAAGTTTCGCAACAGCATATGATGAATTCCCACCATCACCAGTATCCGCCATGAAATCAAACCAAAATTTGTCCTTATGAGCAAGGTGATCATATAAAAGTTCTTCCTTCTTGGTTCCATCACAAGATTTGGTCATTGCAGCCTAGAGATTTTTCAAAAAGAATAGAAGCAAAGACATTAAAGTTCAATTATCATAAATGTCTGGCCGCGGACAGAGGAGTGACCTGATCATATAATCTCTAAACCTAAAAAAAAGTATACCTGCAGCATCCGCATGTCAAAGCGGCCAACAAATACCGTCACTGATACGAGGAGGTCAAACACAGTTTTAAACAAATCAGCCGATGTTCTGAAATAAATAATAACAGAAGTCAGTACCAGGTCAAGTGTCCTGCTTTCATTGTTTACTCGCCTCAATAAACACAATGGTAAGCAGAAAAGGGAAACATTAGTTTGGTATTGGCGTACCCTGAATACCAAGGAACCATATCTAAGAAATTTGGTTTCATTTGCTCCTTCTTCTGCTTCTCATATTTGTCGACTGACAGAGGATGTGTCAGAGCCCACCTAAACAGCATAGTAGAACTTTTAGAATAAACATGCAATTTGAATGTTAGACAAAAGTTGTTCACACATAGAGATGCAACTTACCCTGTTGATCTCTCCACTACATAATTGGCAATGTAAAGACCAATAAACGTGGCCCACAACGAGTATATGGGAGAAATTTCGTTAGATGAATCAGGACACGATCCATTGCACGCAATCTGAAAATTACAAGGTAGGAACAAGATGAAAATCAAAGGTTGAACAAAACGAAACATATGCACAGCTCAGCTAGAACAGTCTAAAGAAGAGATACCTCTCCGTAAATAAACCATTTGGATAAAAGTGGATAATCACTAGCAGAACCAACTGGAGCAAACCACGACGAGCACACTTGATCTTTCAGCTCACTCATACGAATGAATTTTGCAAGCCAGGTATTGTGCCTATGTTCTCTTTTCCAGAACGAAAACCAACTAGAATGCTGTCTTCCAAGAGGTTTTTGCCTCAGAATAGCTCGATTACCACAATGGCTGTAGAAGATACAGCAAGCCATGCTAAGAACCTGCACATATGAATGACACGAAGACAATAAATTTCATGCCAAAGACTATATCTTGAGCTAAGCAAATAAGACTGGCGAAGGTGAACTTACGGCGCAGTTTTGAAGAATGGTTAAGATCTCTGGGCGTCTACCAGCCACGCGAGAAACAAGACCAACATACCAAAGGCAAAGAAAAATGATGTGGAAGACAACAAGGAAGAATATGGATGATATGTAAATTGTCAGAAACAAGGACAAATTCATCCTCAAATCCAAACCCATTGACTGAAAATTAGGAAGATGATACAAAGCTGCAACTAAAATCCAGGCAATGTACCTACAGAAAGAAGAAGCAAATAAGTAAGAACCTTTTAAGAGTGACTCTTGATATAAAACATTTTTCAGAAGATGGGATTAGCAGTTGCTTACCATCGACTGAAGTTTGAATAATTCGGTCTGATAGTCTTCCCAATAAATGGAGAAGAAAAGAAGTAGAAAAACCCGAGCAAGCATGCATACATGGACCACCACTTGACTGAGAACTTTTCAATGAGGGTGTGCATATTATCCGATGAAATAAAGAATAGGCAACCAAAAAACACAGCAATGATAGCATGGCGTGAATGCTCATGCGGGTAAGGGTAAGTATGGGTTAGAATCGTCCTGACCCTCTCCATTTTGAGGGTCTTCAATAAACGAGCAGAATGCTTGTCAGATCCCATAGCATGTGGGTCCTAATAAGTTTCCTCCTTGAAGTTCTTGATGACACTTCAAATCTTGAATAGAGCAAGGAATAGTTAATGAATAACTCTGAGCTTCCGGTTTCTAGTTCAGCAGACAACCTTGTGCCTGAACAGGAAAAGAAAACAGATTTATTCAGCACAGTGTGTGTGATCGAGTAATGTAACAGTATCCATGAACTAATAGCCACACGTGCATCAAAACTCAGTGACATCCTGAATTACACAAGTGCCAAAACTCAGAGCAAATGATAAATGGCATCAGTTTCACTTTAAGAGGAGAAGCTAAACCCCTGTCTGATACATAGTAACGAGTACTAGCCTTCAAAATCACCATCAAGGAGAATGAAACTAGAAAAAAAAAACTTATTGAAGCGTACACCATAAACTGTAAGCCAAGAACTCAAGTTTCCTCATGATTCTTGTATGTCAGAGATGTAATCAACACATTACTACTACACATGATGCCTTTAGTATTTCAATCGTCACTCAAATGTCATCATCGACACAAAAAAAAAACCTTAAAGTTACTTAATTTCCTCACTTTAATCTTATAGTATGTCGCAAACAACTAGCTCCGTATTAACTGCAGTCAGATAAAGCCAAAGAAACCAGAATAGGCAACCCCTGTGACTCTTCTGATATACAAATCCCAAAACAGAAATAAGAACCTTTCATCATTAGATTTCAATGGTACACAGAAAAGAAGCTTTAACATGCAACATCCGATTTCAAGCAATCACGCACTGAGGAAAGTCTTGTGCTTTTTTAACTCGAGAGACGAAGCTAGAACAGAGAGAAATCATACCTATAGCAGCGGAGAAATCGGGACACAACAGCAACGAATCAAGGTGAAATTGGGTTTTCGAGCAAAATCAAATAAGCGAATTCTCCGATTGAATCGAGTCAAAAATCAATGTGGTGGTGCTTACCCCCAAATACACACAATAACCCTAATTTGTGTTTTATTAAAAAGAATGCTTTTTCGGAAATTGAATTTTTACAATCAATGATCTGATGAGTCAAGCGTAGAACGAATCACGTGGCTCTGGTTTTTATAGTGCGTTCGTTGAAAAAGCAGATTTTTTTAAATTTTTTCTTGCCTTTTTCTGAGAGAGAGAAGAGGAAGGAAAAATATGAAAGAGGCGGTTTGGTTTGATCGCCATTTTCGTCCGAGCTATTTGTTTAATAAATCAATTAAATTAAAAAAAAAATACTTAGGATTGGAGGGAATCAACGAATAATTCCATTTCTTGCTACCTTCAAAATATCCGAATCTTTTTCTCAGAAATTTCATTACAAACAGTATGCGTGTACATATTTTAGAACTTGTAATCGAAGCAATCTAATAATCTATTTTTGGGTAGGAGTGGGCATTCCGATTTATTTTCGGGTTCGGTTCGGGTTCGGTTCGATTTGGTTAGTTTGGTTTTTCTAAAACTCTAACTAAACTCAACCAAATTTTATTCGGTTCGGATTCGGTTCAGTTCGATTTAAACACAGTTCGGTTTGGTTCGGTTATAGTTAATTTCTATTCGTTCAACTCGGTTAATAGATTGAAAAACCTTATATAATGTTAATATCAAAATTAAAAACTTATTACTTTAAAACCATAAAGAATCAAGCAGAAAATAGATGAAAGAACTTCAGTTTTCTTTATGAATAAAACCGAAGTGTTTAGATATATAACATGAGTTTTAGGTTTTTCTTTTGAGATTTGAGAATCAAAGACAATATTTAAATAATAGTGCTAAACTGTTTATTGTTAAAGATAATTAATATCATTAATCATTAATAAATTAATAATTAAGAAAACACATTAGATTTCAGTTTGGTTTGGTTTAAAACTGAACCATTCGGGTTGACAGAAATCTTAACCGAAATGTTTTGATATAGACTTTGGTTTGATTTGACTCGATTCGGGTTCGGTTGGTTCGGGTTGGTTCACTTTGGTTCGGTTTTTTTGCCCACCCCTAATTTTGGAAGAACAAAAATGAGAGACTTTACTGTTAATGAAAAAAATAAATAACAAGAGAGTTCTGTTAAAAAAATTTCTCACAACTCTGTGTGAGCCCTTTTTAATGGATAATTCTCATTTTATTTTATTGGTTTAGATAGAATAACAAAATAGAAAAGATAGAAAACTCTTTAGTAAAATTACTAAAGATAGAAAAATAATTAATTTGATTTTCTATCTGAAATTTGAAAATGGATTAGTGAATAAACTATAGAGAGAGATGAGTAAATATATAATATGTTTGAGTCAAGAGATGTAAAGCGTTAGGTGAAGAAATGCAAATTGATGCACTCAAAAACACATGCAAATTTCTTTGGGCTGTGCACATTAATTAAGCCCACCCCAACCACATCTATAGTATTATTTGGATTTTGACGTTTTCTCAATTTTTTTAAGTATAATCAGCAGTGATGGAAAAAAAAAGTATAATCAGCAGTGACAATGTTAATATCTAGCAGAAGCGATTGATAATAAAATGCCCTCTTCGTAATTTTTTTTACAATAAGAAATATTATAATGTATTTAACAAAAACAAATAAAGAACTAAACTAGTAAACAAAATATTAGCTGTATTTATGATAAATAAAATAGTCATCTAATAATCAATAAAGAGAACAAAATATTAGCTGTATTTTCGATAAAAAAATAAAGAACTAAACTACTAATCAATATGTTATATGGTATTTTCGAGAGAAAAGATAATTAGCTTATTCTAATGAATTAAACTCAATTTTTTTGTAACTTAATCAATCCTATGTTTACTTTATTCTAATTCTTTAACAATTGAGTTCTTTTCCATATTTTCTTAATTACTTAACCACTAGAAACCTATGAATTTATAATATAGGCCTATGTTGTGTTTATTTTAACTATCACAGACCTAACTTTTAATTTAAGTTTAGATTTCTATAATTATATAACATAAAACTTGTGTAACATGATAATTTCATATGATTACTGGGTTAGCATAACATTTTCTATAATCAAAACCCATAACATCACAAAATTTTAAGCATTTTTTGTACTAAATTTGTTTTGTAATAATTATTTTGATGAAACCGAAATCAAAACCTAGATTTCAACGTTGATGGTTCTTCATCTCTGTCATTATCATTATCATCAAATCTGTCATATATAGAGGAGGCTGGGTAAGTGAGATTAGAGGCTGGCTAAATAAGAGAGGAAAGGGCTCTTTATCGGATGAAGCCGACTTTGGCTTCCGCTTCTTCACCGAATTTCTTTTCTACTTTTTTATGAATTTCTTTTCAGTTTTTTCCTTTTGAAGACCTGATTGTCACATTCATAGTAATTGATCTTAGATATACTTTGTAGGGATCTTTTTGCATTAGAAATGCAGTGTTTCTGAGTACATCAATATGCAAATTGATGCACTCAGAAACACATGCAAATGTCTTTGGGCTGTGCACATTAATTAAGCCCACCTCAACCACTTCTATAGTATTATTTAAATTTTGACTTTTTCTCATCGTTTTAAGTATAACTAATACTATGATAATAGATAGTTGAAACTCAAAAATAAAAAAACCGAAGCTAATAAACAAAATATTAGTTTTAATATATATTTTCGATAGATAAAATAAGTTCAATATTTTATATGGTATAAGATAACTTAGCTCAATCACTCAATTTTTTATGTTACATCATCCATTCTATGTTTACTTTATTCTAATTCTTTAACAATTAAGAATTTTTTCATGTTTTCTTAATTATTTAGGCTTCAACTGGTGACCAAGGGAATGAGGGGGAATAATGAATTCCTCTTCATTCCTTAAAAATTTTACCATTTACTAGTAATAATATTTCTCTATCATTCCTTCTTATTCCTTATCATATAAGAAATTATAGAACAAATGTATTCCTTATTAAAATAGGGAAGGAACAAAATATATTTATTTACTTTCTTATATATTTTTCATTCCTATTCATTCTTTTCCTTTTGTTCCTTTCATTCTTTTCTTTTTTATTCCTATTTCTTTTTTATTGGTCACCAGTTAAAGCCTTAACCTCTATAAATCTACGAATTTATAATATAGGCTTATGTTTTGTGAATTTTAACTACCACAACCTAACTTTTAAGTTTAGATTTCTATAATTATATTATTTGATGAAAATGATAATTATATAATATAAAAACTGGTGTAACATGATAATTTCATATGATAATTGGATTGATATAACATTTTTCTATAATTGAAAATCGATAACATCACAAAATTATACACTTTTTGTACTAGATTTGTTTTGTAATAATCTTTTTGATGAAATCGAGACCAAAACCAAGAGATTGCAAGCTCTTCAAATGACCAAAACAAACATATATATCAAAGGAGGTGTTTCCTCTCTCAAACAAAATATATGAAAGTGGAAGCTCTTCCACGTATGACCTGATGGTCCGCAAGTGATGAATAAGACTAGGATTGGCTGCCGTCAGCCCCCCAAACTATACACTGTCTACTTAATCCCACACAAACTAAAGATCTCTGCCTATTTCCACCCAAACAATTTATTTTCTGCCTATTCCCCCAAATTCAATTAGAAATTAAAATCACGATCAATTGACAAAATCGCGTTTTAGTTAGATTACGTTTTGGGGGGAAATATGCAGAAAACAAATTGTTTGGGTGTGAATATACGGAAGTGTAGTCTAGGGGAAATATGCAAAATTTATTAAGTTTAGGGGACTAAGCGCAGTCAATTTAATTTTTAGATTTTTCAAAATATTTAACACATGATTAGTTTAATTATATCCATAATATATATTTGTATAATAAAATAAACATATATTTCTATTACAAATGGTAGCATTATGATAGCATAATTTATTTTTAAAAAACAAAACTAACATTGGTTATTATACATACATAGACCAAAATGGATTTCTTTTACTTAGTTGGTTACT